AGCACGGCCTAAAACGGTTGCTCAAAGGTACGGCGTGGCCTGCTCGCCTCGAGGGGCTGTTCCGGCCCCCTCCTTTCTCCTAACCACCTGGATTTTCACCTCATCTAAAAACGCTAATGTCAACATCACCGCGGTTGGCTCTGTGCTGCAGAGGTCAGCATCTCCTTCACATCTCCTCCTCCCCACTGAGCCCCCAGGGCCACACCGCGCAGGGCACGTCTCCTCCAGCTCTGAAGGAGGAGCTCTGCTCTCCGGCTCCGCTCGGCCGGTTCCTCCGGACGGATCCATCTGAAGCTACTAGAGCAACTCTTTGCTGCTTTTTCTGCAGCTGGAACTTGCACGGCCACGTGCGTGGAAAAGCTTTTTTGACCTGTGCGGATAAATGAGAATTGTTTCCAGCTTTTAAGGCGTGGTAGAAGCCAGGCGCGTCCCCGCTGGCCGGCTCCGCTCGGCCGGTTCCTCCGGACGGATCCATCTGAAGCTACTAGAGCAGCTCTTTGCTGCTTTTTCTGCAGCTGGAACTTGCACGGCCACGTGCGTGGAAAAGCTTTTTTGACCTGTGCGGATAAATGAGAATTGTTTCCAGCTTTTAAGGCGTGGTAGAAGCCAGGCGCGTCCCCGCTGGGCACCCTGTTTTCCAGAGCGTGTCCCAGCCCATCCTCCCCGGGCAGGACTGGTGGCTGAGTGGGAGGAGAGGCAAAGCCCAGCCTTGTGACCCTCCCTCCAGTGACCGTGGGCGGGAGGACAGTCAGCGGATGCCCGGCCCCACGTTTGGGGATGGGAGGTGGGTGCTCTTTGCCGACCGCCCCCCCCACCAGTCTGCTGGGGATCTCACGTCCAGCTCACCCTCTGGTCTCCGAGTCGTGCTGGCGTGTTATCCCCGGGCTGCAGAAGATTTCTTTTTCTTTTTCCCCCTTTTACTTTAAATCTTAAGAAGGAAATACAAACTGTTCACTGAACGGCCGGATAACGTAAAGCATGTATGAGCAGTACGAGGACCCCGGAATTAAAGCAACAAGGAGGACAAAGGAAAAACCAGATGCTTCTTTAACGCACATACAAGCGCAGGACTGTCGGTTTTACAGCCCAAATACCGTTATTCCTGCTCTTATTCCAGGGCAGACAGGCAAGCTGATGTACGTGATGCACAACTCGGAATATCCCCTCAGCTGCTTCGCTCTCTTTGAAAACGGTCCCTGCCTCATAGCAGATGCCAACTTTGATACCCTTATGGTGAAGTTGAAAGGCTTCTTCCAAAACGCCAAGGCGAACAAGATAGAGAGCCGGGGCACCCGCTACCAGTACTGTGACTTCTTGGTGAAGGTGGGCACGGTCACCATGGGGCCCAGTGCCCGTGGGATATCTGTGGAGGTAAGAATCGCCTTGGAAGGGTATGAGATACAACTACAGACAGGGAAATCCCATGTTGGAGGCTAGATGAGAAATCCCCCGTCCCTTCTGTGTCTCGATTGTGTTGCTCGTTGCTGGTAGTTTGTACTAGGTGTGTTCATGTGTGCAGCAGGCAGGGTATTTATCTCCTTTTCGCAACAAGATTTAATTCAGGCAGGTACTTTGGGGCTCAGCTGCAGCTACAGAAAAGCCTGTCATTGAAGTCTCAATAAACAAAACCTTGAAGGGATGCCATCAAACTAAAAAGCTGCTTAAAGTCCTGATGGACAACACTAGTAGCGTACTTCAGGTTAATAAGCATACCAAGGGGGGCAAAACAACCTCTTCAGCTGCTAATTGGATGCTGATTTGGGTTTTGCTTTCTTTCCGCATCTCCAGCAGGCAATGGCGGGGCTGAGAGCCCGGCCCTCCTGCCCCAGGTTCTGCTCACACGGTGTAGAGATGGTCTTCTCCTCACCAGAGAGCTTTTGGCAGGCGTCAGTCCTACCCCATGGCGTGCCGACCTGGATTGGTGCACCGCGGGGTGCACCGCGGGCTCGAAGCCTGCCATCAAACCGCTTCCGCGCTCTCCGCTCGGTGCCGTGACTGCTGATGAGGCTCCAGAGCTTCGGCTGCCAGCTGCCGACGGGCGTTTCACAGGGTGGAGGCTGGGCTGAAGCAAACTCTAAAGGGAGATCCTTCGGCGTACACGAAGGGGCATGGGAGGGTCTAGGAAGGCGTTTGGGGAGATGGTTGGCTGAGTGCAAGCGTGAGTCGAAGGCGCAGAAGCCATGGACAAGCCTCAGCTGGGCTGAAAACATCTCGGAAAAAGACAGGGGGCTGGGCTGCGCTGGTACGGGAAGGGCAAAGCAGAGTAGGTCAGATTCCAGACATCTAGATACATTGGTGCCTAACAGTCTTCAAGATAGCTGAGAATTAGATGCTTAAAAGTTCTTCAGAATCAGAGCTTGCGCTTTTCTAAACACACAAATCCTATTATCTGATACACAATTAATAATCACGCTGCGTCTACTCAGGCAGGTGTTCCTAGCCAGCAGGGACGAGGGGTGAGAAATGGCTTATTTCTTCCCTGCAATAAACACAGATGTTGTAGCGTCAGCGTTGCTATTGACCTGGGGTTAAACAGAAGCTTGTTTTACCCTAAACTTGAGTTCAGGACCAGATCTGCCAGGCAGCCTGGCTGCTTCTGTTGTAGTTTAGTAGTTTTTTGGGGGTTTGCATTAGGACCTACTCCTGATTTGGGACCAGACTCATGTTTAGTAAAACGCTTCAGGTCCTTAAGTCCCAAGGCTTCTCCCAGTACATTCCTGAAAGACGTCACAGCCACACGAGTCACCGACCTACCAGCATGTGGGAATGAAGTTTGGGTTTGGACGGGGTAAAGTTAATGTGGCGTTTGAACCAATGTCCCAAGACCTCCATTGTTGGGGATTTAATAAAAGCAGCGCCCTTACGGGGTACGTTTTACCTCCCCTTCCCTTTTGAAGGGATTGCTTGCATGTTCCCAGCATGTCCTGTTCATTTATATTTGTCCATCCTCGTTATATGCTAAATATTCTCAGATGTTTTTACAAAAAGCTCGCTCTCTCTAGTGAGGAGAGAGGAAAGCGCGTTGCCTCCTGTGTGGTCATTGCCCCTGCCACGAGCTTCAGGGCTGTGGTTTCTGTTGCCAGGTGGAGTACTGCCCCTGCGTGATAGCCAACGACTGCTGGAACCTGCTCATGGAGTTCATGCAGAGCTTCATGGGGAACCACACTCCCGGTATCCCGTCCGTGTTTGGCACCAAGCACGACAGCATCTACAGCCCAGCGGACACGATGGTTCAGTACATGGAGCTGTTCAACAAGATCCGCAAGCAGCAGCAGGTGCCTGTAGCGGGGATCAGATGAAAGGACTCCCTGGAGCCCGGGTTAGAGCGACTGCATCCCCTTTTTCTGCCTGCCCGCGTGGATCAGGAGTCCCTCCAAAAAGCAGCGCTGGAGGCAGCCCAAGGTTTTTTTTCTTCTCAATCTCTTTCCCCCGTTTCAAAGCGAAGGTCTTGAATGCTGTGCGTATTTCTTGTTGTCCTCCTTCGTGTTTTTGAGCGTGTCTGGGATCGGGCCCGTGGTTCCGCTGGTTCTTAGCACGGTGCTTCAGGCAGGGGATTACTGTTCGTCGGCGGAAGGAGGGAACAGGAGAAACTCCAGCCAAACGCATGCAAGGGCAGAGTTTTCTTGTCTGCAAACAGCTACATGAGAGATTTTTTTAAAAAAATTTGTTTTAGATATCCACGTGAAAGTGTCTTCTTGATTTTCATCAAAATAAAAAGCTGTGTTTTGTGAGGAGATGGAGTCTTTCTGCACAGCAAGTGTTGTGCTGTTTTGTATTGTTTATTTACAGCTTTTGAATTTTTCTGTTGCATGGAGACAATTCTTCAGCAGAGTTTTATCTTTGATTTGGTTCAAGAGCTTTATACCCCTGAAGCAAACTAATTTCCCTGTGGCAAAATCTACAGGAATTTTTGCATTCCTATTATGGGTATGTTCTTAGCTTGCCTTCATCTTTTATATCTGATGGGAGTATTAAAATCTCCTACCTCTCAGATGATACCGATGAAGCCTCGGTAGGAGCCCTCTCATGCATTGAAAGAGAATACCAACCGCTTTATCTCATTGTTTGAAAGGTAGGTAATAAATGTCCTATCCCTGCACGCCGTTTCTCATTTGAGAAATCCTGGTGACTTCAGCAGATTTAGTGAACTAAGGAAGGATTTGGGGAATAAGAGCCAAAAATTTATTACAAGACTTAACTATATGATATCACTTGAATATTTTTTTTTTTTAGTGGTGATTTATTTTTGCAGCAGGAAAACCAGGGAAATTAGATCCCTTTTGAGCCATCTGTCCCCTTGGTTTTACACGTTCAGGATCTGTCTGGCGTGTAGCTGTCATTTTTTCTTCTCCTCCCTGCTCCACCCTCTGCTCGGTCTTAGAATAAGCAGAAACATGCTCATTCAGCCACCGACCTTTGCGCTGAGCCTCCTTCGTGGTTGCTGGGAAGGCTGTGTGTAGCAGGGTTCCAGCTCTGCAGCCCGTGTCCCGGACGTGAAGGGCAGGTGTTGAGAAGGTCTAAGGATGGCTTTAGGAAGGGAGATTTGCAAGAAGGACAGTGGGTTCCTCACGAAGATGCAGTGTGCATCTTGCTCTCGGGAAGTGTTGTTGGTTCCTTGCCAATACATGGGTCTTGAAGAGTCTGAAGAGCAAGTAAAACAGAAATAGATTTCTCCTAAATAGATTTCTCCTTCTGAAGCAGTGGGGGGGGGGAAGAAGCTGTTTTGTTACTTGATTTGCTGCCTGGTGGAGAACTAGCTATTTAGATAGGACTTCTTTGTGATTATCATTTCTACCTGTAAGCCTAATTAACTGTTAGAGCACCTAGAGCTTTTAGTGTGGGCATTTAATAAATTTAATCAGCACTGGGTCCAGAAAGACCTGGTTAATGAGCATAAATGGCATAAGGTACCGTGTGTTAGAAATTCCAACGTGCTGAATATACTGGATTTTTGCAACTCTTAGCTCAGGTTCATGACATGTGCACTGACTTCAGTGGGACTATTAATTTTCAGTGATGAAAATCTGACCTGCTGTCACTCCATGTAGTTAAGTGTGGCTGGGAAAACTTAGGAAAACAAACTGTAGTCTTTGTAGGGATAGTTATTTCTGTCCTGGTTTCCATTT